GGTTGCGGAGGGCTGCTGTAAGACAAGGGATAGTTCACCACAAGAGAAGGCAGGAGATGAGGATAGTCAAAGAAGGCAGGTTACTCACCAGTCATGCATTAGCGGGGGATACAGCTTCCCCCTTGCCAAGAACAGGCACTGAAGACACAGAAATTTGGGAATGAGATGTGTATGTTTCCATCCTCTCCTATACTCCCCCTAGTTATCTAAACTTACTTTTAACGGGTCTGTCAACTTTATTTTGAGTAATAGCTTTCTGCTGCAACTTAAAGACCCATACTTCAAGAAAAGTGAACCCAGAAAGGAAGTCAACAGTGATAAGAGAGTTGATATTTTGATATTTTCCATATGCAGCAAGAATATATATAAATTTTTAAAAAGCACAGATCATTTCATATACAGTCCAGGAGGCCTTTAAAACAAACCCATACTCCAAACACTGAAGAGAAATTCTCGGCAAGAAACCAATTCAACAGTAAAATGAGAGGTTAGTGTGCAGTGGGGGTGAAAATCCATATTAAAACCACATGCTACTATAATATTTTATTACAACTACTGCCAATAATCTTTTAAACTATGTTATAAATTTTGGAGTCTATCATATAAAAAACTCATCCTTGCTCCTGAACCCCCTTTGCCTGATGCAATTCCTAATACTGTCAGCATTTCATGGTACACTTTATCGGTTTATGTCCTTTTCGTACACTTTTAAAGGCACAATAGTACTGGCATTACTTATCAGAGGTCACTTCTTCTCCTTGATCCATGAACTGACACTGGCACACATATGCACTCCCCAAATCACATATGCATCTATTCTTTACAATGAGCTCAAAATATGCTTGAAGTTTATTCTGTTCTCAGATCAACTCCTGAAAAATATTTGTTCATCTAATGCCAAATGTCAAGCAAACCTTTGCTAGAATCAAGAAGTTGTCATTGCTTTTAAAAAAAAAGTACAAGTGTCAACTCCTAGAATAAAAATAGCAGCTCGCCTGCTTAGAGGAACAAATATAAAAGAATGTGGAAAGCAATCTAAAAGTGAGACTACAGAACACTGACATGTATGGACACCTAGGTAAGTTTAGACAGATGAAATGAGATGTTTCAAGGAATGTAACCACATTAGGAGAGTCATCTGATTAGACTAGCTTATTATGATACCCAACTGGACAGCTTACCTGAGCCTGAGTTCTGAACTGACACAACTGTGTTGTATCCACTGTCTAAAATTGGTCATTCAGCAGCCATGCTTGGGTATCACTGGACAAGATGGTATAAATGTATAAACATATCTCAGGATTCAGAAAAGAAGAAAAAAAAAAAGAAAAAAAAAAAAAAGAAAAAGCTGTTCCCCAACCTCTACCAGTATTTGACAGATCTAGAAAATATTTTCTTGTTCTTCTCACATTATACACATTTGTAAACACCTTTCAAGAAAAATCTTTGTTTTCAGATAAACCTTTGGAAATTACATATAGCACTGTAGAGATGCATGCCACTTGGAATGAAAACAAAGAGAGCCCAGTTGACCTGGACTATCCTCTCATTATATGACTGACTATACATTAATAATATAGTTTGCCACAAGCTTTTGTCTAACTAGTAAAAAAGGATCTAAGCCAGCTTTACATGTAGGGCTTTTGTTTTTTGTTTTCAGATCCTCAGGGTAGTGCTTTCTAACAAAACATCAAAATGTTGAATGAACCTATTATGGCTACAGTGCTCTGTACTGTTGGAAGTTGTTCTAATTATAGCCAGTTTTGGAAGCAAGTTCTGATGAAGTTTTCCAGACTGAGGAAAATAAGATGCATAGACATCAAATGACTAAATGGAGACATGGAGCAAAGAGAAGAGTAATCTCATAAAGACAGACAGGGGTATGAATGAAGTGGTAGTGGCTTTATGCAGAATCTTTCCCCCTACGATCTTCCAAAAGGGGAAAAAACCAAAACCAAACTACCACAGCAAACCCCATCAAAATTGAGGCGACCAGGACTTAACAGTATCTGGCAGTCACTGGAAAGATGACAGATGGAACTACATCCTTTCACGTACATCCTCTTTACGCACAACGATGGGGAGAAATCATCTGCCTGAATCCCATCTTATTACTTTTTTTTTTTTTCTATTTTTTTTCCCTGGTAAGAGCGGAAATCAGTCCTCAAAACTGCTACATCAAATAATCCTATTATAACCTTAATTAATATCTGGGCAGGTTCATTTGGAAGAGGTGTCTTTCCTTCACATCTCTGTGAGCCCAGTGACCAAACGACCTACCATACTGTACAAGTGACAGCACTGCTGTCTCTCCTACATCTAATTGCTAAAGTCCCCATCCTTTGCACAGTAAGGATGAAACAGAAGCCTGAACTTTACACTTTACTGTTTTTTTTGGCCTGAAATTACTTTTTGAAAGTATTTAAAAATCTTTACATATCTTTATAAAATCCCTTCAACATATTTTTGAAGCTTATAATCCTGTGTTAAGTCACAGGATATTAAATTGATACAAAGATATGATCAGTTCCTTTTCTGCTTAAGATTACGCTGCTTATGCAACACTGCACAGAAAGATGTGTCTGGGAAAGACATTAAAGTAGAAATCTATTTCATTTTATTTCTTCATAGAAGCAGAGCACATCCCTACCAATCCTTTCTACTTATTCATACCACAAGATTGGAAGCTATGTAGAATATAGTAACACCAGAGCTTAAATATGGGACTCGTCAAACACTTGTTTGCAATCTCTGTAACACAAGTGACCTATGGGGAAAACTGTAACACATATTTCTGAAAGATTTTTTTTTTCCGTTTTATTATGCAGAATGCATAAAATGATATCCTCAGTTTTCACAGCATCTCACTAGAGATAAACTCAAAAAGGCAGATGCATTGCTCATTTTATGGCTGAAAAAATGTTCCATGGGCAAAACACCTTGCATAGATGCCACAGCACTTATATCCTAAACCAACAGCAGCTGGTTGGATTACTGACACTTGGGAAAACAGTGAGGGAGGTGGAAAGTAGAAATAAAATGTGTGCAACAGATACGGAGTACATATCAGGGTGGAGAAAGAGTGAAAGACAACAGTAGGGCATATCTACCTCAGGCTGAACCTTTTTATGGCATGAAGAATCAAAACAGGAACTTTCAGCCATTTAAAAGAATGAAGCTGAGGTTCTGCTGCTCAGAAATAGCATTCAAACACTTTCTAAAGAAACTTAAGTAGCACTGTCAACTTGGGCACAGGATCTGAAATTTGACAAGGGCTTCCTTGGTGCCAGGAAAGTCTATTTTGCTGCCTGAATTGTAATCCACCCACATCTGGATAGTTAGGAAGGTCCTGAGAAATCATTCGTGTAACCTTCTAGGCAGTATGTCCCTCCAAATGTTCCATTTACATGGTGGTACTCCAGCACAACGCTTTCAGGGGCCAAAGCAGCCCTTCCTTCCAAGCTGCTCCTATTGACAGCTCACAATGCTGAGATTTTGCCTTGCCGACAACTGCAATCGCAAAGTGTCCAAGACACGGAAGAAGAATCATCATCTCTGGCAGATACAGGACTGACTTGGACCACACTATCCTTTGTTAGGTTATCTGACTAACAAGCAAATTAAACACAAACCCCAAGCAAAGATCAGAGGAGCAAAGACAGGTGCAGGAACTCCAGTAATGTCATCAGTGGAAAACCTAATCAGTGAAAATTAGAGAATACTGAATTGCCTGTTTACTAAGATCATTCACGGAGGAGGATGAGACCACTACCCTGGTGTGAAAGACACCAAGGTGAGTCAATAGGGAAACTCTTTCAACAGAAAACCTCACAAACAAAAGGGGCCAGTTGTCTTAGGGCAATTAGTTTTTGAGCCATACAGGGATTCATTATGGGATGCAGACAGAGCAGCATTTTGGGACTGTGTAAAACATATGAGGGGATTTTTTAAGGGGATTGTGGGAACGTGTAAAGATTGTTAGGGACAAGACTGAAGCTGGGGAGAGGGAGCAATCAAGGTAGATTGGAGAGGAAGAAGTGTGGGAAAAATAGAGGGAAAAGGGGAAGAAGAGCATAGCTGAGAACAAAGTTGGCTGGTCAGCAGCTTGTCTGACTGAGCTCCGTGCTCAAGCGTCACAGCTCATCTTGTTTTCATTAAATCCACTTTCTGTCTACCCTCTGTGAGGTTGTGCTCTCTGCTGTAGATGTGCATGTATGAATAACAGAGAGCAGAAGGAGAGGTCTGAGTGCTAGCATCTGGAGTGAGCCATGGACATCAGGGGCTCACGGATTCTGATGTAAGCAAGTGGAGCAGGGCAGGGGCACTGGGGGCTGTTCCTGGATAGATCCAAGGCCACCAGCAGCAGTGACCAATAGATATATTGTGTGTTCCATTTTGTACTAGCAGACTCCAATCCCAATAAGCAGGAGAGAAGGAACAGAACTGGGCCACCTTGGCTCTTCAAGTTCATCTGAGGGTGTGTAAGTGGGTGTGGGTAAAGGCAGTGCTTTCTCTCTGTGTTGACCTTTCTGGCTGGGCAGACATGTAGCATGAGAATGCACATGCTACCTCCTTCTCATACAGATCAGTGAATACCTCAGGGAGACAAAACTTGGTGCAATACCCACAACTGTGAGTAACTATATTTTATTCTAGATGATTGTCAGGACAAATATCATGACTCTGCAATCTTGGTGGAGAAGTTTCTCACAGTAATTTGGTAATGTTCCATCTACAGCCATACTTTAAACAAGAAAGTACCAGAAACATCATTCAATGCACTAAATAATGAGCAATACCAGCAAGTATTCTGTTGCTCTGAATAGATGAGTCACAAATTGCATGTTATCTCCAGCTTTTGTGATGCTAAGCCAAGTCAAGCCCCCTTTCCAAGCAGGTTAAGATAGCGTTGTGGCAATGTTCTTATTTTAATTCCAATACTGATGGAACACACTTAAAAAAACCAAAGAAACAAACAAAAAACCCCATAAAAATCTTACCTCCAAGTTGTAGAGATATTTGAAACTGTTTTTCTGATTGGCTGCCTTTTCCACAGCTTGAGCTAATTTTACTGCTCCTCTACCACCAGCCGACCAGTGGTTGCAAGGTACAGCATCAACTGCTCCAGATTGCTTTGCAATCTCACACACTAGATCAACCTCAGCAGGCGAGTCAGTTCTGCCAACCAAACAGTTCTGTCTCATTATTTTTTTTAATTAGTTCTCTTTTATAACATTATATACTTAGCCTTTTACTACCATCAGTCATTGTAAAGCAAGTCTGTGTAGAAATTGTGCCATATACATAATGCATTTATATACAGCACATATATTTATTTGTTTCAAGAACACTCTCTGTAATTATTATAGCTAATTAACATGAAAGATTAAAATTTTCATAAGAGTATTTACTTTTTTGGTGGTTTTAAAACCTCAAGTACAACTGAAGGATTTAAGGTCTTTATATCAATGATGAAAAAAGGAAATTCTTTAATAGCTTCTTTTCTTCATGCCAAAAGTGATTAATTTAAAAACCAAGGAAAATGTGAAATGCAAACTGTGGAACTCCTCATCAGAGAAAAGAAAGAATGGACTTACTTGAAGACATTTAGAGCAACGACAACAGGAACTCCAAAGAGCTGAGTAATTTGAATCTGTTTCTGTAGATTACAGCAGCCATCAGCTACCAGCTGGAGGTTCTGTTCAATTACATAAAAATTAATGAATTGGTAAGACACATCAAGTCTTCTCCAGCCAAAGAATTTTCTATAAATTCAACAGAACATAAACAGTACTGATCATGACAGTTATAGGCAAGTTCTACACTTCCAGACAAAAATATTTTGGCACTTTTCTTACTAATTCTTGTTTCAATTAATAAGCAACAGACATATTCAAGTAACTAAGCAGTGTACAAAATTTGTACATGAATGCATTGCTCTTTTCTGGGACACAGGAAGACAGTGAAGATGATGACTGTTTGCCTGTCATGATTGTGAAAGGGCTGTTAACAGTCTCTTGTTTGCAAACTTTACAAATTACAGCAGTGGGGTGGGGTCTGACATACAGATGTGTTAAACTGGAAGAGGGGAGATTTAGGTTATACATTAGAAAGAAACCCTTTACTATTAGATTTGTGAGACAGTGGAACAGGTTGTCCAGAAAGGCTGTGGATGTCTCATCCTTGGAAGTGTTCAAGGCCAGGATGGATGGGGCTTGGAGCAATCTGGTCTAGTGGGAGGTGTCCCTGGCCATGCAGTTGTTGGAACTAGATGATCTTCAAGGTCCATTCCAACTCAAACCACTATATGATTCTATTATATATCCCAGATAAAACCATATTAACGGACTTCCTTATTTCTGCTTTTACCTCACAGTTTGTAGGCCCTGTCTTAATTGCAACATCACATGTATCCTTAGCCTGATAAAACCAAAATACCAGAACTTGTTTACAGCAAAGAGACATAGAAAACAAATCTGTAAAATCCACTCTTGTTTGAAGAGTGACATCCAACACCAGATGTGAAGTCCAAACAGATTAAACCTGTTACTTAATTAACAGATTAAGCAAATTGTCTTTGACCCCCACAAGCACTCCGCTCTTGTGCTGCCATTAATGCCTGCATGATGGACCGAAATGAAGAGCTGATCAGTCTGAAAATGTTATGGTCCTGGAAAAACTACTGAAGGAAGTTAGTTTTTCAGCTAGCTCAGTTCCTCAGTACAATCTACCATGCAGTCACATACAGAGCACACACAAGAGTGATAACACCAAGTGGCTGGGGGAAGATGAGATGGCTTTGAGTTGGCTGCATGTTAAAGGTGCTCACTGAATGTCAGCATTAGAGCATGCTTATCACTGAACGTGAGGCTGCACACTATCCAACCAGAGGAATAAGTTCTGACTCTCATACACCACATTGCTTTTTCTGTTTAAAATTCTCCTAAAGTTATTCTTACCTCTTCTGTGTATTCCTTCTTCAAAGGGGCACCAGCAGTTACCTAGAATAATAAACAATGTCATCACAGATTGACCCTTGTCATAATCCTAAATGGTCAGAAGTGCCCTTTTGCTTACTGTCTATACTGCCAGTCAGCATATACATGGCACACGTTGTAGCTTGACTGCAGCTTCAGTTTTAATCCAAGTTACACAGGTACATGGAGAACAGGAACACTTGCTATTGTATTTGTGTAGCAAGATACAGGCAGTGACTCAGCAAGTAGTTGTAAAAGATTTGTTAGAGAGAAGGTAATTGGATCCTATTCTAGATGCTTAACAACACACCCATTGTGCAAAGACAACGGACAATAACCTCCAACAGCTGGCTGAAGCAATAACAGCAACACAGATGACTAGAACAGGGACATCACCTTTGAATGTCTTGTCATTATTACCTGTGGCAAGGAACTGCATGTAAGTAATTTACTTTGCTGAAACACACAAAGACAGAGTATCACCAGGGTACTATACTGAGCCTCCAAGATCCAAATATGTTTATCCCAGGCACTGGACCTAGTCACTTTTGTCTCAAGCATTGGTCTTGGTCCATTTTATAGTTAAACTCCCAGTAAAAGAATCCAGTACTCTACCTGCTCCTATGTTGCATTATGTAAGCAAATGAAAGCTTAAATATTTTTAAAGACACAGATCTGACAGAAATACACAGTTATTAAGACATATTTAAGACATATTTTTGCTAGATTGAATGGTAACACACATGACAACATACCTGCCTTGATACCCATGGAGGAATATAATTAAAAATAAAGAAAACTTGCATTAGAAGTGGATTAAAATAATAGAAAGTTATATAATGATGTATGTCTACCTGAAAGAGTGAAAAAGGACAGATCAGCTTTAGCTCCAAGAGATGATTAGTAAGGGAGACCATGCATTCCAAAATTTTGTGGCTGTGGAAACAGCTCTGTTGTTTTCACCCAGTGAGACTGTTTCCCTGGCAGCATCACTCACTTGCATGCTGCTGGGCAGATGGAAGTGTTTCTAGGAGATAAGTGTCTGTCTGCTTGACTAGTAGAGCCCAATCCCATCATCTCACTGAGGAGTGATTCTACAAACAGTAAATAATCTGTAGAAGTTTCTCTGTGGCTTAAATAGCAAAAAAATTATACACTCATGACTTTCGGTACACTGGGAATACACAATTTTATCAGTTAACTTAGCATCCCTGAGGGAATTAACCTGAGCAGATTAAAAAGACAGAAGGGGTTCCCATTATTGCGGTGAAAGAAATCTCAAAACCTTCACTAACAATGTCCCCTACTTCCTCTCACATACTACAACCCAAACTCGCCTCATATGTCCTCAACTGCCAATTTTCCCAGTCTGCAACTACTTCAGTGCACTTACAGGTGCTATTTCAAAAGGCAGTGAAAAGAATACATATACATATTATAAATGTTATTCATGACAGCAAACTCCCATCCCTCAACAATATTTAGTACTTCTTCAAAGCTCTTTCATCCCTCTTTTTTCATTTGTGCCTTTCCATTCCTGCATTACCTTTAGAGCTAGCATCTATATAATGAGGTAACTCGGGACGTGCATATAAATAGTGCCCCACAAGCTATCCCAAATATTTCTTAAACCAAGGTATTTTACTTATTTCAAATATTAGCAACAGTTCTATTTTCCAAGAAAGGTGCAAAAACTTACATTTGGCCCACCTCCATGCATCTTCAAAGCCCTCACTGTAGCAACAAGTACAACCACACTGGGAACCAAGCTAGAGGCTCTGCATTTGATGTTGAAGAATTTCTCCATCCCAATGTCAGCACCAAAGCCAGCTTCAGTCACTGTTAAACATTAAAAAACCAAAACCAAACCACACATAAAACATGCTTTCAGTTAAACACCAGGGGATATTTCTACTTTAGCATACAGTGCACTTAAATATACACCAGCACTCAGTTTTGAATGAACTTTCAAATAGAGGTCTATTTACATTACTGAGCCTGATTTAAAAAAATATTCCCAGCTCATAAATAAATTATCTTCTTCTCGATACGTACAATGTGTCATCAAAAGTAGTCAGATGCGGGAAAACGACCAAAGCAATCCAAACTAGTTGGACTCAAAGCATTTTTAAAACATAGTCCTTTAGAATAGCTATTTCTGTTTAATTATATTTATTTAAAATGTTTACAATTCTTACAGATCTAAGACTTCCCTACATTATTTCTCTTCCCTTGATTTCACTAAAGATGTACTTCCATCATAATTAATGGACCTAAATTCTTCTAGGCTTGCAGGACTTCTGATCATCTCTTGCCTTTGAGGAGCAGATGTTTAACTACAAACACAAAACAGCATTTACAGTCCTGTCTCAGTGTTGAAGATGCTATTAAACACTGAATTCAATAATGAGACTTTGCACCAAAAAAGTCAGATATTAATGTGACTCAGGAAAAAAAAGTCTGTGCAGAATTAGGATACACCTAGCAAAGTTTTTTAGAAGAGCTACAAGCAAAAGAAAAGATAATCTGTATTAAATTATGTCAGTCTCTTCAGAGGTAATTTGCTCTGATTTGCCAAATATTCAAATTTGTCAAATATGTCAAATTTGTCAAAGAGGCAATTTCAATTGCCTCTTTTAAAATCAAAATAATTTCTTTTTATTAGACAAATACAAGCACAAAGCAATTAAAAATTCAAGGGATTAAATCTCCTGTTCTTTGAAAATTTGCTGATGTAACTATTTTCCACCAGAACACATGTAAGAGTTGGGACTGATGTGTGCCTCTGGAATTTATGAATGGACTTTCAGCCAGAGAAGCCAGAATGGGAAAATCGCTTGCTTCAGAGGCTCCTGGACCTGACTCCAAGCAGGGCTGGTGATGTGTCCCCACAATCTCAATCAGTTTACAAAAACTAGCAAATTGTCTTTTCATTTTCTCCCTCTTGCTACCAGTTTTTACTATCATGCTTCAAAGGGGACCACAAACAGCTGATTGAACATTTTGGGGCTGAAAACCTTCATCAGGGTCAAGAAGAAGGAGGTGCAGAGCAGATATACTGATGTGGGAGAAAATATCTTTCTGTTGGAAGCTGATGCACTTTAGGAAGTTCCAGCCTTTGTGTGTTTGTCCTCACCCCATCAGTCCTTTTCCACCCCTTCATTTTGCATAGGCTGAAACAATTGCCTGCGTGGGTCTGCTCAGAGGGAGGAAATGGCTGCTGCAGCAGGAAGCAAGAGCTAGCAAACAAGGGGGGCGGGTGAGCATGTGGGGGGGG